GGCTCGGGCGACTGGTACTGGTAGGGCTCGGCCTCCATCGGCTGGTACACGTACGCCTGCGTCGTCGGCGGCGCGTACTGGTACTCGGCAGTCACTGGAGGCGTCTTGTCAGACTGGTGGCGTCGGATGAGCAGGACAACGAGCACGATAATGACGAGACCGCCAATGATGAGCCCGACGATGAGGCCCGTGTCTACGCAAGTTAATGATCAAAGCCGGATCCTATAAAGGCAACCAAGTGCCTACTGGCGCCAGAAGACGAATCCTTGTCATTGCCAGATTTCTGCGACCCGCTGGACGGACTAGGCACCTTGGTGAGGGGTGCCTTGGTGACGGGTGCGGGTGCACTCGACGGGTCGACACTGGAAGTCCCTACGACCACCGCATGGATACATGGACAGAAATCAAATCGACCAACCAGGACTCGCGACGCAGACGCTGATCGTGTACGACGCCGACGTTGCCCAGAGCGACCGAATCTGTCCGTTGATGGCCGCGCAGTCCGACGAGCTCGTCAAGATGTTGTTTGTGACGACAAACCCGGCGTAGTTGTCGGTATCGCCGTCCCATTTCTTCAACGCGTTCAACGCTGCGTACGTCTGTGGCGTCACAGTAAAGTTGGAGATCGGGCAGTCTTTGATCTCGCTACAACAAAAGTCATGAGTCGCGGGTCCGATATCCATGGTGTACAAGAAGGCGAGCTGCGGCGAGAGCTCGACAAAGGCAAAGGTCACGAGCGGGTTGTAGCCGAGACGCCTGCATCAGCAGTTTGCATCCTCCGCTGCGTTTCCGTAAGAAATACGACGTACACGAACGTGACCGTCGACCAGTCCATGTTGCTCACTTCGAGCAGCTCGTTGTTGTAGAAATTCCTACACCAAACAGATTTTGAAATCCAACGACCAATCGAAAGCGGCAAATCCATACAGGAATGTCGGCGACGGCGGAAGGCCTGCTAGCGACCCGAGCGAGTTGCCGGCAAATGCGCTGAGTGTGACATGAGACGACGAGAAAGTACCGACTTGCTGCGTACAGCACACGGACGCTCGAGGGGATTCCGGACGGAAGCCGCAAGAAATAATTGGTATTCCAGTTTCTACATTCGAATGAGTCGTTGGCGCGCCAGAAACAAGGAATGCATACAGTGTTTTGACGCCCGACGGAAACGTAAACGTGGTCGGGACACCGTAGAGCCCGCAGTTGATAAAACTCCTATTTCCACAAAAATGTCAAGTCGCAAACAAGAAAGAATCCATCAAACGTACAACGTGGTGAGCGCCGGCCACGGCGATGTGATTTGGCTCAACCACATCGACTGGATGTTTCGAAAGTACCTAGCCCACCATCAATGTTCTTATCGTCCACAGACGTGTTTCTAGTACAAATTTTCGAGCGTCTTGGGCAGCACCATTTTCGTGAGGTCGATCGTCGACACGTTTTGAACCGTGCTACAATCGAGAAATGTGGTCGATGGAAAGGACTCGATGGCGTCGCACAGGTCGGGGTTGGGGTAGTTGACCATATTGCCGACAGCGTGGAAACCGGTGAACATGTTGTACGACGCTTTGTACGTGAAGTTGAGCATCGCGCAGTCAGAAGGGCGCACGACGCACCACTGCTGGCTGCCGCAGTTGCTGTCGGCGACAAACATATCCTCTGCGAGCACAGTTGCGTACGGGCACGCCGCCGACGCGACGCTCGCGAGGCCGAGCACCACCACCCACGCTCTTGTTTGCATGGCGCAGCGAATTTAAAGTGATGCGGGTGCTTTTGATTCCCGGCCACCGTGGGACCTTCAACAATGTGGGCGGCTTCAAATCCAGGTTACAAATATGTACCACGTCATATCCTGCCTGGTGCGATTTGTTCTTTGTGGCTCGATCTTCGCGATGTCAAGCTACGAAGCGCTGCCTCCAACCCCCACGGGTCCAGCTCACTCCCAACGACCAAGGGCTGGTGCCAACTCCCACGCATTCCGGCGTCGCGCTACGTATGCAAAGTCTTCGCGTTCGTTTTGGGTCATTTAATTTCAACGCCAAAAACACACTGGATTGATTGATGGATTGATGACTACAGCTAAGAGGAGTGCGCTGGGAAGCTCCGTGGACGAGAAGGCCCTGGACGAGAAGGCCCTGCGAGACGACGCGCATCGAGACGCCCAGTACACACTATAACACCACTGGCACCAGTACACGAAGCGCTTCAAGTGCGACGAGAAGAAATAAATGCCAACGCAGTCACGGGAGCAATTCAATTATTACTGTAGAACATCTTTCGTATTTTGATGGGTTGGAAAACGTCGTCCCACTCTATGTACCCTCCACAAAACGTGCTCTACATCCTTCCCCAAGACCCGCCCGCTACGGCGTTCGCATCCCCGCAATGCGGGAATGCCAATGGCGCCCTCAAACCTTTCAAAATCCCAGGAAACCCACATCGGACGACGTTCTACTGTCCTGAAAAGCGACGCCTTTATTGCATTTCCCCCAAATGCGTCAAGTGCGTTGGAAATGCAGTGCTTTCTTGAACTTGCAAGGGCGGCGATGGGCCATTTTGCATCACGCACAA